TCTATATTACCTTTTAGATTAGGATCTCTTCTTTCAAACAAGACCATTTTCAGGTTTCTGCGTGCTTCCATCGGTGAGATATTCGCGTTCTGCCCAGAGGGAACGGAATTCAGCGTCTCAAGCTCTCCATGGCATGCCAGCGCGCATTCAGCTCTTCTGATGTTATGAAGCTCTGCGGCCAGTTCTGGGCTGCGATTGGTCGGTTTACACGTCACTCAGGTCGGCCATTACAGACTCTGTGAACTCTGACACCGCTGCGTCGGCACAGTGGGCAGAGAAAGGAGGGGTCGCTTTCCGCTCGGTCAGCCAGTGCACTGTGGAGCATGAAGTCCATGACGTGAGAATTTAAGGCTTTTGACCGCACGGAAGAGTTGTAGCGACTGCGTCTCGGATCCTTTCAGTCTATGATTATCATATTACAAGTGCACGGAAGAGTTGTAGCGAATGCGTCTCGGATCCTTTCAGTCTATGATTATCATATTACAAGTTATATACGATGAAGAACGGTCAGCGCGCCTTGGAGAGCAGTGGACGCGCGTCTGGGGAGACTTCAGGAGAGATTCTCTGAGTTTGAGCGTGTTTTCCTTTGTTATGAAGCGTGTTGGCTATATTAGCACGCTGATACACTGTTTGCTGACAGAAAAGTACAGTACATTATGCATTTCAGTAAATATAGATGGATTATTACAGTGCGGTGTAGATGAGCTAACATATGTTTGTTTGACGCTGTGAATGTAACCGTAAAACAAAGGCAGAATAACTGTTAACTCCAGACCTGCACCGTAATCTTGACAAACGGCTAAACAAATGCAGAGCACTAACTTAATTTGAGTGATCTAAAACCAAATTGAAGAGTGGTAACTGATGCTACTGTGTTCTGCTTTGGTTTCTCCGGGGCTTTTCTCCAAGATACTTGTATACATGATAAAGGAGGTTCTATATGTCCCAAAATTATCATTAACTCCTTTTCGACCAAATTTATGGTGTTTTGTCTTTGCACTGCTGTCACTATAGATGGGTGTGGTTTCTGCAACCAGGCACCTCCGCTTCACCCACATCCCACCTTTTGCCCTTTCAATTATCTGGGAGTGATGCGCTGCCAAGATGTTGGTCGGCTCCGCCCACTTTAGGCTTAAAATGTTCTTCAGAACTACGAGTGACGTCACAACTTTTTTTTTTTTTTTTTTTTTTTTTTTAAGATTCATGCATGTGCTGAAAGCTGTTTCCATGATGGCCAGTGTCCTGCCACACAGAAATGTTGCCCAACCACCTGTGGCCATGCATGCAGTGAACCACGTGGTCAGGGAAGAGGTTGGGCAAGTGGTAATGGTCAGGGAAGTGGTTGGGGAAGTGGCTAGGGAAGTGATCAAGAAAGTGGCCGGGGAAGGGGTCCAGGCCGGGGAAGGGGTTGGGAAAGTAGCTGGGGAAGTAGTCGTGGTCAGGGAAGTGGCTGGAGAAGTGGTCAGGGAAGTGGCTGGAGAAGTGATCAAGTTTGAGGAAGTGGTTATTGGAATGATCATGGGCATTTTGCATAACCCTTACTGGTGATCTTTTCAATTCAGTGCTTTATTCATATGGCATGTTTTCCATGTTTGCCCTAAAAAGAATTGCGATTTGAGATGTGTGTAGTTTATTGCAAATTATTTATTCTGAAGCCATGTTCTCAAAAGATTTCTATTAGCTGTGACCATTTCTATTTTTAATAGGGTGGTTTTTATTTATTTTTCTTCGTGGGCTAATGACACTTTGCTCAACCGATTCGTTCAGAGCATTGAATCAGCTGATTGCTGTGAGGTGCGCTATGTTCTGCCTAAAATTATAATTTTTTTTTTTTTCTGCAGCTGTTTTCCGCACCTTTTGCCAAGTGTTTATACTTGTCTTCTCATGGAAGTTATTCAGGTGGTCAAGAGTGACCGATTATCTAAGCTAACAGAGGGTGTTAAAAAGGTGAAAGATTGGATGACCAATAATCTTCTCCTATTAAATTCGGATAAGACGGAGATATTACTACTTGGACCAAAAAACAGTACACCGAATCTCGTGGATTACAATTTGCAACTAGATGGATGTACGGTTACTTCCTCTACAGTCAAAAATCTGGGTGTTATATTAGCAACTTGTCTTTTGAAAATCATATTTCCCATGTTTGTTAGTCTGTTTTATTACGTCTTATATTGATTTTTCCGTACTGCTGGTTCGTCTGGTCAGAGGAGAACTGGCCCCCCGACTGAGCCTGGTTTCTCCCAAGGTTTTTTCTCCATTCTGTCACCGATGGAGTTTTGGTTCCTTGCCGCTGTCACCTCTGGCTTGCTTAGTTGGGGACACTTCATTTCTGGCAATATCGTTGACATAATTGCAAAGATATTATTTAAACTGAGCTGGATGTTGACATCACTGAATTCAATGATGAACTGTCTTTAACTGAAAAATGAGTGTTTACTGTTGTCACTTTGCATTATTGACACTATTTTCCTAATTAATGCTGTTCAGTTGCTTTGTCACAATCTGTATTGTTAAAAGCGCTATATAAATAAAGGTGACTTGACTGACCCTTTCCAATTTCATTGACTCTTGCACTACACACTGTTGCACATCACCCCGGACTACATATCCCATCATTCATTGCACTGATTGCACTCAGCACGGATTGCACACAGCTGTTAACACTGATTGTACCCAGCTGTTTCATATCACTCCCTCACTATTTAACACTCACTCTGATCCCTTCCCTGGGCCGAGTATTGTTTAGCGCATGGCTTTGGATAGCTACACAGAGCCCTCAGTCGTGCCCTAGCCTTAGCTGTTTTCTCGGTTTCTGATCTTTTCCTGGAATTCTCCCTTAGTCTTGCCCCTTCTGATTCTGTTTGCCGTTCATCGACCTACGTTAGCCCTAGGACTATTCTTGTGTCTTGCCCGCCATATACCTGTTTGACCCTGCCTGTTTTATGACCACGTCTCTGTCTTCTCCAAATAAAAAGCGTGCATATGGATCCGCACGTCTCACGTCTTGTCAGCCGCGTAACAATACTCGGCCACACAAGGATCCAGCGGCTTTTCAAGTGGACATTGGCCAGGTATGGACACTGCAAGGCTGTTGTTAGCCCTCGAGCAGGGCACACGCTCGCTCGAGGCATACATTCAAGAATATCTGGACATTGCCTATCACGCTGATCTACCGGACTGTGTCCTAATAGATTTTTTTTTTTTATAGTGGCGTTAGGCAACCGCTGAAGTCTAGGCTCATCCTTAAGGGGCCTTGTTCGTCACTATGTGAGTGTATGGATTATGCTTTATTGACTGTTGGTTCTTTGTGGACTGTGGGTATCATGGAGGAACGCAACCCCACTCTGCCTATTCTGTTCTGGCCAAGGAGGCAGTCTATGAACTCCCTGCCTGTTCTGTTCCGGCCAAGGAGGCCACCTAAGAACTCTCTGTCTATTCTGTCACGGCTATGGAGACCGTTTGCGAACTCCCTGCTCGTCCTGTCACAGCCATGGCTATGGAGACCGTTTGCGAACTCCCTGCTCGTCCTGTCACAGCTATAGAGGCCGTTTGCGAGCTCCCTGCTCGTCCTGACACAGCTATGGAGGCCGTCGGGGAATCCTCATCCTGTCCTGGCTATGGAGGCCATTTGTGAATTCTTTGTGTGCTTTGAGGCTGCCCCTGAATGCTCAGGCTTGTCTATCAACCCCAATGTTCTGTCTGTGTTGTCTGTCTCTGCTCTCTCGTTTGGTGGTCTACTGTCTGGCTCTGGTGGTCTTCTACGCCGCCGTGATGGTCTGTCTGGCTCTGGGGTCTTCTGCTCTGCCGTGGTGGTCTGTCTGGCTCTGGGGGTCTTCTACTCCGCCGGGGTGGTCTTCCGCTCCACCTGTGCTGCTGGCTCTGCCCTGGCTCACTGCTCCGCCAGTCCTGCCTCAGTGCCCGGTCTCTCCACTTCCAGGTGGCCCTCCATCCCTCCCCCGTTCCGCCTCCACTCCACCGCCCTCCGGAATCGTAAAGGGTTTTGATCGTCTGGAAGCCACTCCTTGGGGGGGCTCTGTCACGAATCCGGTCCATGAACTTCCTTCTGCTAGCCATCAGAGGTCACCCTTTCCAATTTCATTGACTCTCGCACTACACAGAATCATTGTTGAAGAGCTGGCTAACTATATATATATATATATATATATAATAGTTACCAAACCAGCAATTAAAAAAGAGATTTATTTTTGTATAGGATGTTATTCCAAATATAGTATTTCCTTGCTGAGAAATTGTTTATAGGCCAGAGTCCATGCCATAAGAGCTTGTTTATGAAATTTTGCAAGCTTAACCGGTATTTTTTTCAACTGAATAACTGCACTTCAACAAAAATTCGAGGTCACCCAATTGCATGAATGGATAGTTTTGAAATGAGTTCCAAATACTGTCTTTATTCTTTAAATGTTGAATAAGCCAATTTATATTAAATACATTGTTTAGAGTATCATAACTCAACACCTCTGAACCACCATGATCTTTGGAAATGCTTAAAAAAATTCTCGGGTAATGTGACTTGTTTCACCAGATAAAATCCATAAGCATTTTATCCAGTTGTTTGGTAACTTTATGGGGAATATCCAAAGATAATGATGCATAGACTGATCTAGAGATTCCTTCAGCTTTTGAAAGAAATACCTGCCCCTGAATTGACAAATCTCTTTGCAACCACATGGTAAATCAAATAGTTTTAGTAATAGTTGGATTGAAATTCAAATCATTGCACAAATATAACATTTTTATATATGTCAGCAATCACACTAGGAAGCTGAGGTAAGTGATACGAATCAACTGGTTTACTGATATCGACAGATGTATACAGAGCAAGAGTCCAATGATAAGTAAGATGGGTATGGAATGAGATCAAGGTTCTTAGCTGTGCGGTGATACAGTCTCAGGAGCGGTGGAGTGATGGAGCAGGAGAAACAGCGGGAATGGGGACTGTAAGGCATTTCCGAACATCACACAAACCAGATGAGAGTCGTAAAAAGCTGAACCATGGCCAGCCAGGCGGCAACTTTCTCCAATGAGTTCCTGTCTCGCTCTGCTTATCTTTACAAAGAAAACACGGAGCTAATGATTTGCCAGGCCACCTCCATGTCGAAGCATACTAAGACAACAAGAACTGACCCCTCCCATCTGGATCCGTTTAAGCTACAGAAGGTCAGTAGGTTTCGTGACTGGTTTCAGCATGAATAAAACATCTAATGGACCAAAGAACAGAGAACCTGTTACCTAGACAGAGTCCTGCACAGAATCGCACGGACCTCATGACCATTTGATGCATAAATTCCTAAATCCAATCAACAAAAAAGACAATTTTATAGCTCCCTGTCCAGCAGGAGAATCTCTAGCAGACTCTCAGATCTGACCTGAGAATGACCGCAGGACCCTTCCCTTTTCCCCCTGCATTCCAGGAATTTAAATCACTCGTGAAAACGGGGTAGAACAAAACAGTCAACTCACAGTCTAAGAAACTGTACGTGTGTGTGTGTAATTTTGTGTGTTTTAGTTTAGTTTTATGTAATCTAGGATAGCCAATAAAATTCACGTTTCATTTATAAATAATCAATTGTCTGGTGTCATATCATTTCAAGGTTAAAACTGTTGCCAAAGATCCCTTGCTTGCTGCCTAGCTCGTAGCTTACTCATAATAATTACCTCTCTCTAAGAGCTGACAAATTATCGTAATTGTGTTAACCCATGGCCAGGGAGAACATAAAATACATATTCAATTGGTAATATACACTGATATTAACTTCTCGCTGGCCGAGTAGCTGATAGAGTGTAAACTATCAATTCGAATCAGGTTGAATCAGGCTCTTCAGATCCTAGTCCTCTAAAACCTGAATTAATAATAATTGCCTTACAACTGAGTTAATTTCTTACATATGGTGGAGAATGCGGGCAGAGATTTGACTGAAAAATTAATGATACCAAGATAAATATTATGAATTTTGTCTATTTTTATCCGGAAAAATAGATAAAAGATAGAGAAACTGAATTTGTTGTGTTATTTGGTTATGTTATTTTAGCACGGAAGAGCGTGTTGTTTGAATATGAAACTCGAGTTGTTCTTTAAAGAATTGAACTGCAGAAAAACGTTTTAATTTGTCCAACGAGACAAAATAAGTCGCGTCAGAGCGCACAAGAAAGAAACGGGCGTTTTTCCCCATTTACTTTCTGTAAAAGGGCCTTCAGAGTGCGATTTGTATAGTGCGTTTTCCACTTCCAGATGCAACTCTGCTATTAATCTCCCCGGTTTGAGGAAATAAGAGTAGCTAGCTGAGAGTCCGATGCCAGTTAATTCACTAAAAAAAACTAGTGAACTTGAAAACGCGGTACTCACAGAGTGTCCGAGATGTTAGTTTGTGATGGGAGAATTATGAAAGCTTGATCAAGTGAAATGTGGTTAAATCCACATGTGTTTTGTCTGTATAAATAGACGTGCTGATATCCGCTGAGGTATCAACAATTA